TTATAATAATTATTAATAACTTTGATGAATAATTATGTACATATGTACATATTTACATAGCTAAATAAGTAATTTTGAAATTTGTTGGTTTTGCCATTTCAGGATCTATTCCACGATGTACACTTATACTTCTTACCATTCATCATTTGCTCGATTATACTCGGCGTTTGGGGACTGAATATTACTGTGCGTGTGGTAAATAATCTGCATTCGGATTATAGCACTATGGTGAGTTGAGCTTGTAAAGAGAATCTACAAAGTTTATTAATTAGTTAATTTCTTTTTTTTTTAGAAAAAAATGTTTTGCCTACAATTAGTTTTGTTGCTTTGCAAAATGCAGTACTTAATTTTAGATCAACAATTGGATCGAATATTGCTTGGGGCCTTGTATCCAATGAATCACGTTATATACAAGCAAAGTGAGTTTACAAACACATATACATAATTTAGAAATATTTTTTAATACTTTCATAGTTCTTATCTTAGGAAATTTTTAATACATTTTTAAGAAAATCTTTTCTTGAATTTAGCTAAAATTTATTTTCAATATCTTTAAAAATGTATCGTATTTTTCAATTTAAAATTAATTGTTTATTAAAACTTTGATAAATTAAATACAAATACTTTTTTTCGTATTTTAATTTTTTTTAATGTGTTAGTATATATCCACTATACATTTTATTTTTATTGAATATTATTTCATTTAATATAATGTATTTTATTTTATCATTTTTTAATTAATTTTATTTCATTTGATTTATCTTGATTTTATATTATCTTACTTTCCTTTATTTAATTTTTATTTTTTTTATATTAAATATTTATTATTTTATTTTTATTTTTATTTGTTTTATTTATTATTATTTTATTTTATATAATTTTATTTTATATATTTTTATTTTATTTAGTTTTATTATATTTTAATTTGTGTTATTGAATAATATTTTTATTTTTCAATTGTTTATTAGGAAAAATTGAAAAAGCAACAAATCTAAGCGGTAGAATTTGTAGCAGCTATTTCAGAGATCACCACATCTCCTCATCAGACTTCTTTTTTCTAGACTTCATTTTTTACTTTATTTTATTTTAGTATATTATATTTTAAAGTATTTACATATGTACCGCAACTTATTATCTATTTGATTATTCAATCTGCACTACTGTATTTAATCAAAAATTAAAAGAACATTTTTTAGTCACTTAAAAAAAATATTTTATAAAAAGCGAAATATTTTTTAATGCAAGTTTTTAATTTTCTTTCTTTAATTTTTCCTCTTTGCAGCCATCATCAACACTTTGATCTTAGTGGAGATGGTTTTGGTGTCGCTATTCGCGCAAAACGCGTACAGAATTCCAATTCAAATCGAAGATAATTAAAGGACCTGCAAATAAGAATACTTTAAATAGAAATAAGTTAATCAAGTGCAGCACTTGATAAATATTTAGCTACTATTTATCATACTTAATTAGTTTGTTTGTTTCAAAAGTAATCTACATACATACATATGTGTATGAACTATTTGGTATTATAAAATACCAAAAAAGTAAAGTAGTAAGATTATTTTCATAAAATCTGTATATTATGTACTTATTTTTTGTGTTAACTTAAATTTTAGAAGGCCAAGAAGCTTAAAACATGAATTTTAGCACAACTGCTATGGTATACACACATACATACTGAGGCACGCACGTCCATATGTATATATATACATATTTAAGTAAAGCGGATTAAGCAAAATTGTGATAAAAAATTTGCAATATGATTAGTAATATTTTTTAAAATCATAGCGTAGAAGGTTGGAGTTTTTATAGAAAAAATAAAAAAACAAAAAATACAACGCATATTTTACTTTTATTTGGACAAAAGAAATATCGATGAATCAATACTTTGTTCATTACAACCTTAACCAATGTATCGATAAATTATCGATTACCGAAAACGGCGCCGAAGTATATGAGAGAAAACATTAACAACAAATTTATAAACAACACCGATATTCATAATCATCAATTTTTCAGGTTAATAATTTTCTTTGTCTTTAATAAGTAGGCGGAAGTCCTACCGAAAGTAATTAGACGAGTGTAATCAGAAAAATTTATTATATTCCATTTATCAATATCCAGAACGGCATTACCTTGGTTTGTTATTTCAAAAAAATTACACTCAAATGCCAAACGGCAAAAGGATTGGTTTTAGGGACAATGAAGAGGAGCCAGGCTTCGCATGCTCAGAGCTTCGCAAACTCACAGTGTAGACAGTGTGCCAAATAATGACTGTATCCATATACATATATATATATAATATATATAAATATATCTTTGAAAATTCATACGTAATCTGATGTGTTTGCGTTAGTTTTTTATTTCAAATTAACCCTCAGGTGATACATGTTAAAAAAAAAACCACACATTTTTGATTTGTAATCAAAATGGATTTTA